TAGGGTTAGGTTTCCTATATATTGTGTTTGTTGGGGTGGTCGCTCATTACGGAAATCATTCCTACCAGAACAATCTTGTACGTGTATTCATTCACCCCCCACACAAAAAAACACCCACGAAAACAAATGGTTTTAACCCACAACATTTTTGTACATGCCTTTTCTATTACTAGAATTGTTTGTTTGAATTGAAAGCCTGTGCTAATTTACAATTTGCTTGGAAAGCCGTGAGAGAGTTTATACACTAGACAGAGCAGTAGCGAAACAACTAAAACAAAATAAAGCTGTTTAATTACTGTGTGAGCAACAGCAATAACAACACAAAAGCAGTGGCGGTGGGTGAACCTAGATTTGGGTGGGGCTTAGGTTTCTTCCACTTCTTTACCACCAAAATAAAAGCAAGCAATAAGAACAAAACAGTGATGATTTTTCTATACTCACGGCGAGCCAAGGCATTTTGAGAACCATTCAAACGAGAAGAGTCACCTGTGTCTTCCATCTCTTTGTTCTTAGTTAAAGTTAAGCTCTTCTGGGTGGTGGGGAGGAAGCCGTTTCACCTCCAAATTTCTCTAATTAGTTTTTATCTGAAGAAAAAGTTGCCTCAAAAGTGGTTTGATGTAATTAATAACTGTTAAATCTCAGCGGCACAAACACACAGCACTCCAAACACATACCTTCTATGAGGTGGATTTGGTCGTGTTGTTGCCGAAAATAGAACGCGCCTAACAAAGGCCCAATGGGCGCATAGGTATCTGTGTCACTGGGGGAAAGTTTGTCGTAAACTTTCACCCCAATGTCAGGGCTGGGAGAGCGTGAGCCCTCTGTGCAGTGTTATTTTTTAAAAAGTCTTCTACCTTTTTACAAGAAGAGTTTCATTAAAGACTGGCGTGGGAACCGGCTTATTCTTTCTGAGCCCTAACCACATTTGATTGGCTGTTAGGTTACTATAGTTGTAAGCGGTGACAACAATGATTGGATAAACGGGCAAGCAGCCAAGCTGATAACTGTGTGTTCATTGTGTGCGATCATAACGATTTCAACTGCTTATTTCGTTATTTAAGAAACTTTCATTAACTAAGGGATAGAGTTGAGGTGGGGATGGGGTGGGGGTGAGGGGCCAAGCCCGTAAGCCCTTCACTACCCACCGCCACTGCACAAAAGCAAATATGACCATCGTTTAAACAAGGTGAATAATATCAGCAAAAGCATAAGTCATATCATACCAGATCTAGATCTAAGAATAAGATAAGAAACCATAATAATGACAAGAAAATAAAATATCAATAAGAGTGACAGTGGCAATACAAGCAACATTACCCAAACTGCAGGCAACAATAACACCCGCAATTGGAAAGACAACGATGAAAGAGAGGTCAAGTAGGAATTGCTCTTTTGACATTTCCTCCTGTAGTCATCTCTTGCTTGGACAAGATGGACGGAGGCTACTACCCAGATCCCACCAACTGTTACGGCTACTATTACTGCTCCAACGGGGTACCCTACCCCCAGACCTGTGTGGGTGGACAGCATTTCAATCCTGTGACAGTTTCTTGTGACGATGACGTCAACGTGCTGTGTATTATCGGCACCACGCCAGGTATTATAATATATTTAGGACGTGATCAATACTGTCACGATAATATCATAGGATTCTGGATAGTTTTATATTGGTTTTTATATATTCATTTATATTAGTTCCCCTCTTGTTTATTTTAATTGTGTTCTCTTACATTTTCATAATGTTAGTTGGCCTTATGGAGCTGCATGTTCTCTCGTTCATATAGAGGCTTCTATAATTCATCTCTTACTTTCAAATGTCGTTTTCCTCTCAGTCTAGTACTTTAACTCTATCTTTTCCATTTCTTGTATGTTTTTTCTTTATTCTCTCCTCACTATTCATATATTCTTTATCATCTCCCTCTTTTTTTGTTTCTTCTTATTCGAATATTTTCATCATTACGTTCCAATACACTTTACTTTTATTCACCGATTCTTTTGTTTATTTTCTGTCTTTCTTATTTCTCTTTCTCTGATTCCAATGTTTTTGGTGTTTTCATTTAAGTAATTTCACTCTCTCCTTCCCCCAGTACCCCCTGTGTCGTGTGACGGATTGCCAGACGGGACTTACCTCACAGACCCATATGACTGCCACCTTTACTACCGTTGTATGTACGGGGAGGCCAGGCATGGCCGCTGTCCAGATGACTTGGTGTGGAATGACGTTTCCATGGCATGTGATCACGTGATCAACGTGGACTGCTCGGGTCGAGGACACCAGACGGTCACTGGGAGCACTTCTGGTGTGACGTCAAGCGACTACCCAAGTCCTACACCAACTACACCGGGTATTTCTCTACTCTGCAAGCTTCCGTATAAAGTATATTTCTAAACATGTGGCTGTGGTTTTCGATTGAAACCCGTTTTTATACTACTGAGCAAAAGATTTTTCCAGATACTCATTACCTGAGATAAGCTTCCTACTGCAAAACAGATGTTGTACTTGTTAAAACAAAACTACACCCAACCCTGCCCCCCCCCCTTTAAAAAAAAAAGCAGAATAAAAAGAAGGGTAGCAAAATGGAGAAAAAGGAACGGGAACCGGATAAAGGACAAAACAGTGAAGAGTGCATTCAAGTTAATAATGAAAAAACCCAACCCAAACTGAACAGATCAACAGTTCTGGAATCAGAAATGAAGTGTTGTTAGTAGAATACATGTTGTGATCAGCTAACAGATAGTGTACCCCTTCCCCTCGCTTTTGTGGATTAAAAAAAATATCTGTTCTCATTCATTCCGACGTTTGAACCTTTCACTTGTGTAAAACTTTATCTTTATGTCTGTTTGCTTTTTTCGTAACTAATGATGACCAATACTGTGTCCACATATTTCTGTTTTGCTCAAACCAGAAATATTTCAATTCTCAGGTTTTTTGTGCCCGAGCTCTGTATCCAGCGGCTACTATGCAGACCCTGGCAACTGTTCCCACTATTTCCTTTGTACTTATGGTATTGCCACGGCCATGCAGTGCGGGGGAGACCTACTGTTTAACCCTATCACGGCCAACTGTGACCAGGCGGACAATGTGTACTGTGTGCTGGGGGCCACTGCAGGTGAGTGACTTGGAAGGACACAAAATTGCAATACTAGTTCTTTGGTCTTCATATCTCTCAGTTTGCTTTCCTCAGCACTTAGCATGAATTCACATGTTCAAAAGCAAGCAGATAGTTTTCATTTTCTATGTTCTCAGTCGTGATCGTTGTTGACGTAAACAAACCACTTTCCTTTTCCATCTGATTCGTCTGCTATTTGTTTACAGCATCCCGACACTTCACTGAATTCATTTGCAAATACATTACTTTCTTTTGTCTCACCTCGATGCTAGTTGACATGTACATAATAATTACCCAAGTTCATGTGTGCAGTACTTTCACTCTTCCCTATGTGACATTTTGTTGTCAGTGGCGCCCGTGTCCTGCCAAGGACTATTAGAGGGCACCTATCTCCCCGACCCGGATCATTGCCAGTACTTTTACCGCTGTATGTATGGAGAACCCAGGCGAGGCCGCTGCCAAGATGGCTTGCTGTGGAGCGATGTGTACATATATTGTGATTATGCCATCAACGTGGACTGCAGTGGCCGGGGTTCTGGGACCACACCCACCAGTAGCTTGACACCAACAGCCCCTCCTATGAGCTCAGCAACGTCCGTCACTTCAGGTAGCTCTCATGGCGTGCCGTGATAAATTGCCACCTCAGAATAACAAAGTTATTGCTGCTTCCTACCTTGAGTTTCATAACATGTCAAACTAGATCTATTGTAAATGCAATTCTTTGAATATGTTGATAACAACTCCGAATAATCTTTCAATTTTGATGAGCAAATAGAACATTTGGTTTCTGACTTCATAGTCTTAATAACTCAAAATGGCCAAAAATGTCAGATAGAACGTTGTAATTCTAAGGTAGTGATATGGCATTGGTATAAAAAGAAAACTTGTACATTATGTATTCGGTCTATAAATTAAAAAAAGAAAAAAAAGAGCTTTTATTCCATAAACATTCTGTTGCACTCGGTTTTGCTTTTACTAGAATTTTATTCTCTTTAACCTGAATGCCCTTGCTTATTTACAATTTGATTGGAAAGCCTGTAGAAAGAGATTTTATACACCAGGAGCACCAGTTGCACAAGAACGAAATTAAATGCTGTTAAAGCAACAGCAACAACAAAACCAAATAAAGCCACTGTTTAAAGAGCAAGGACAATATGGGTAAAAGCATGAATCATATCATATATGAAAAAGCAAAAAAAATATGATAATGGCAAA